CCTGCCACAATGTCCGGCTATTTTTTGTTTGTTTGTTTGTTTGCAATTTGGCTGGGGCTGGGTTCAAACCTGCAACCCTCTGTATATGGGCTGGTGCCCTACTTACTGAGCCACAGGCGCTGCCTGGATTTACTATTTTTAAAGTGAATGATTCAGTGGTACTTAGTACATTCCCAGTGCTGTGCCACCATCGCCTCTGTCTAGTTCTGGAACATTTTCAACACCCCCAAAGGAAACCCTGTGCCCGTGAAACAGCCACTCTCGTCACCCCCTCTCCTGGCCCCGGCAGTGCCGGTCTGCCTGTGTCTCTATGGATCCACCTCTTCAAGATGTTGCATAAGAATAGAATCACAGGCTAAGCGATCTCTGTGCCAGGCTCCTTTCACTTTCATTTGTTTTGGAAGTTCACCTGCATTATGTTAGTACTCCCTTCCTCTTTAAGGCTAAATAATATTCCCTTAATTGGACAGACCACATTTGTGTATCCAGTCATCTGGTGATGGACATTCGGGGTGTTTCTACCTTTTTGATACTGAGAATCATACTTCTTTTTTTTTATGTGTCTGACTTTTTTTTTTTTTAAGAATTATTTGGACACTTACCCATGCTGTTGTGTGTATTTAACATTTCTTCATTATCATAGCTGAGTGGCATTCTACTGTGTGAACAGACCAACACTTTCTTCATCCATCTACTTTTGATGGAATTTCAGGTAGTTTCCTCACTTTCAGGCTATTATAAATTGTGCTGAGAACGTTCTTTCTGATGAATGTCTGCCCACCTGTTGGGGTTCTACCTAGGAGAGGACTTTCTAGGTTTTAGGGTGTGTGTATCTTTTGCCTCCTGCTTTTTCACTTCATGTTGTTACTTGAGTATTCTCTTACTAGAAATTCACTGTGGAAATACATTTTAATATCCTTCTATGGATGGGGACCGTAGTTGACCTAACTGTTCCCCTACTGATGGACGTGTAGGCCGTTGGCAACATTTTGCTCTTATAAAATGTCCCCGCCACCTACATCTGACAGTGATGGAGATCGAATGGCTGGGGTGTTTGTTTACATATTCACGCGTTTGCTAATTGCTGAGTGTGAACTGGGGCCTGGGAACACAGTGATGAGCAGGATGGTCCCTGCCATGGAGAGCACCTTGGACTAGAATGAGAGAGATGGCCTGGGTATAAACATTTCTTGTTGAAATGCACAATCACTTGGTTTTTTATTTCTTCACTTTTTTTTTTTGAGTCTCATTCTATTGCCCTGGGTGGAGTGCTGTGTCATCATAGCTCATAGCAACCTCAAACTCTTGGGCTTAAGCAGTCCTCCTGCCTCAGCCTCCTGAGTTGCTGGGACTACAGATGCCCACCACTATGTCCAGCTAGTTTTTCTATTTTTAGTAGAGACAGGGTCTCACTCTTGCTCAGGCTCATCTTGAACTCCTGAGATCAAGCAATCCACCTGCCTCAGCCTCCCAGAGTGCTAGAATTATAGGTGTGAGCCACTGTGCCTGGCCTGTTTTCTCACTTTTCATAGAGCCTCACATCTGAAGCATAGTTCCAGATGGCTGCAGGTACTGGGCCTCAGTGTTGGAGAACAAGAGGGAGTGGTGGGGACTGTGGCTGTCGTAGAAGCATGTTCCTCAGCTCACAGTGGCAGCCACTGCTCAGACCTGGCCATCTTTTCTTTGTAGTGGGGGGTGGGCAGGCCAATATTTCTCTTTTTAGAGAAGCCAGAGATTTGGGTTTTATAAGTCCATATGTCTCCAAAATGTTACAAATTCAATTTGCAAAAAATGTACATGGCACGGAAAGCATCAAAAGACTAAGAAACTCATAAACCAGAGAAGATAGGGAGACATGGCAATTTGATGCAGTGTGGTCTGCTGGAAAAAGACTAGAAAGAGTACATGAATGGAAAAACTGGGGCCACCGGACGCAGCCTGGAGTTTAGTTAATGGTAACATACCCATGTTGGTTTCTTAGTTGCACCAAAAACCCTGGGGATGTCAGAGGGTAATGGTGGGAAGAACTGGTTGAAGGGTATATGGGAACTTTCTGTACCATCTCTGCAATTTTTCTATAATCTAAAATTATTCAGAAATAAAGCACTGCTGTACTGTGCAGCTCACAGAAAACACATCTGGAGGTGGAAGTTGGTTCACAGGCCAGCAGCTTTGCAAGCCCCACCTGGACCCCACAAGCCCTTGCCCTTTTTCCCCTTCTCCCTCCCAACGTCCAGACGCTTTGCTCCTGCTGACCTGGCCTGACTCCTTGTCTGGGTTCTCTCTCAGGCAACCTGGAGGCGCAGGCCACAGCGGGCACTGTGGTGTGAGCTGAACATGAAGGTACTTGGGCATGAGCTGAGTTTTGTAAACTGTGGGGCGCTGGGGAGCCCCATGAAGCGTCAGTCCCTGAACTTGGCTGAGCTCGCCATCAGGCTCCTGAAGGTAACCCCCAACCTGCAACCTGTCCCCTCCCTTGCCTGAGCATCGAATTTGGAGACAGGCTGCCTGAGTTGAAATCCTGGCTCCACCATTCACCTTCTTGGGCCTGGTGCTTAACTTATGGCATTGGTTTCTGCATCTGTGAAATGGGGATAATGCATAGAAACAATAACAATAAAGTATCTGTCCCTAGGCTTTTACCCTGAGGAGTAAATGCAGTGAAAACAAGGGGAGTGTGACGGTATGCTGGGCATGTGGGCAGTGCCCCCGTGGGACCCACAGTCCTCCCTACCTGGCTACCTCTGGACACCCTTGGCCCCCGAACTTTCTCATAAGCAAACTGCCTAGGTTCAAACCCTGGCTCCACCCCTTTCTAGCTACATGGTGTTGCATGGTTTCCCTGTCTGGAAATGTGCTCTCCGAAGATGAATGAGGTCTCTCCTGCTCCGTGCTTGGAGGTTGCCTGGCCTATAGTGGGGGAGGCCACACGCACTGTTATGCTTCTTTGGCTGCAGGGACAGGAGGTGCGGATGAGCCGGAGGCTGAGCCTGGCCATGGAGGAGTTGGTCTTTCCCACCATGTCTGGCCTTCCAGCCCGGCTGACCCTAAATGCCTCAGCTGCCATCAGTGTCCGTGTACGAGGAACGGCCAACTTCCAGCAGCGCTCAGATTTCTTTGTGAACGGTTATGTCAAGCTCAGGTAGCTGGCTCCTCGGAACTGGAGCAGGTTGGGGCGGGGGAGCCTCTCCCTGCAGAGGGCTGCAGACAGGTAGGGATGCTGGGGATATCCACGTGGGCTAAGGGAAATCCCTGCTTTGCAGACCATGCATCACACTGTTGCTTTTTATACCAAGAGACAATGTGAGGAGATCCCAGGTTGTTAGACCTACTTCACAGGTGAGAAGACTGAGGCTCAGAGAGGTGAAGTCATGTGCTCGAGGCCACACAGCAATGCAAAGTAGCTGGGATTCTGGTCTGAAGCCACAGCCCCACACACTTCCCTCTACCCCACTCAGCTGCCAAGGGGGTGAAAAGGAAAAACAGAGATGAGCCAGCCCTATGCCCAGAGAGCATGTGGCCCCCGAGCGAGGGGGCACTTTCCTCATTCCCACTGATGGATGAGGAGACTAAAGCTCAAGGCAAAGCCTCTGAAGGCCCAGAGCCACATGGCATGAGAGTGCCTGAACAGAATCTGTGCTGTGCTGTCTCTCCCTGGCTCTTACCCAAGCGTCTGTGGGGCCTGGTTTGCTGTGAGGAATGAGCATATCCTGACCTGGCTGCTCCTTTATGAACAAGGACTTAGTCACCTCTCTGGGCCACAGCTTCTCCACCTGTCAAACGGGCTAACGATGGTTAGGGATGGAAAGTGCTTGGTGCACATAGTGTGTGTGGGCAGTGGTGGCCATGGTGGACGGGCTGCTGTAACTCAGGACTGCGGGTGGCAGGTGGCAGGCAGGTCAGTGGGGGGCCTGTGGCTGCCAGGGCCTGTAGGATACAGCTCTGCTTCAGATCTCGGCTCAGATGGGCACGACAGGTACCCTGGGACAGGCTGGGCTGAGGTGGGTGACCAGCGTCCATGGCACTGCCAGCTTGGATGGTGGGATCCATGTGCAGAAGGGCCAGGACCTCAGGGTGCATTTGAACACCCCCGAGGAGGCCACAGAGCTACTCAGCTTCAGGTGTGTGCTGTGGGTGTGTGTGACTTTGTGTAGGTGGTGTGGGTGTATGTGATCATGTGTCGATGGTGTGGGTGTGTGTAAGATCACGTGTTGGTGGTATGAGTGTGTGTGATCACGTGTTGGTGGTGTGAGTGTGTGTAAGATCACGTGTTGGTGGTGTGAGTGTGTGT